AGCCATCTCCGAGCGCATCCTTGGCCGACGCGGTCGGAAAACAACAGCCTCTCGCTTCGCCACAAGTCATGACTGCAACTGATTGAGCTCGAACAGCCTTTGGCGGCCCCTCCTTCTCTCGGAGAATTGACTCTCCTTTTTCTGTCGAGTGTAGATTGCGCGTGCAACTAGCACTTGCCTTGATGGGAAACAAGCAAATGTCAGGTCTGTTTGATGCATTGAGAAAGCTTTTACAACCAAAGCATGCCCCTCAGGTTTTGTGTTTTTTGCTGTGCGCTGTTTTTGCTGGTTCTCTTCAAGGTGTGTGGTTTCTGCAAATGGGAGGCCTTTCAGGCATGCTCTGTTGGGCTTTGCATGCCCTTCAAGTTTACACATGAGGAATACTTCTAGGTCCTCCAGTAGAGAGGTTGGAAAAAGGGTACCCTTTTTTTCTGTAGTCTATTTTGGTAGGGGAACCCTCCCGCAAAAAAAAAGGGTAGAAGGGCACTACTGGGGGAACTACACTTTGTCTTCATGGTCATCAAAATCACACTTGTGGGAACCCCCACCACGCATTGGCTTGTTGAATGCTCTGTACTTTGAAACTTTCCTTCCATTGGCATCAGTCCCTGGACAGGATGGACGGAGAAATGCGCAACCTGGGGTGCACTGAGGGTAGGCACCCCTCTTTTCATGCAGTGGGGGTCGAGTAGGGCAGCGATGTGCCCTAGGCAAGAAAGAAGCTTCAAGTCACCCCGCTATACATTCTAGGATGGAAGGTAGGACCCCCCTTGCATGCCCCAAACCCCCAACAATCGCCTCAGTGCTTGTTCGACCTCGGGTTCTCCACTGGAAGGGCCGGCCTTTGAAAAGAAGCAAATGTGCGGCGGGCCCACCTCTTTACCGTACATGCAGAGGAGTTGAGGTTCGGTTCAGGATTGAAATGCAGCCAAGCTGCAGTGCGATAGGTTCTTTGCCTTTCCTGAGGTGGACAGCTTGCTTCGGCCAGCGGTGGAACCAAAAAGTGTCATGAGGTCTTGAAACAGTGGGGGGAATTTGCGGCTAAAGGGAGATTGCCCTCTGCATCACCGGAAAAGAAGGCACAAACACAAAGGGACTGCCTTCTCCGTTCTGCCGGGACAAAACTGGGGAGCACGGCCCTGAAAGGGGGTTTGAGGGCCATTGCGGGGCCACGCCCGCAAACAACAACTCGAGCCGGCGCTTGCAACGTTCGGATCCTCAATCTCGAGGGGGAAAAAAGGAAAAACCGCTCGCATCTCAGCGCAGCCAGGCTGCAGGCTTGCCCGCGATGGAGCCCTGCGGGTGATGGCGGATTCGGTTTTTTTCTTCTGAGACCCCCCCAGTGGGGGCTCCAACATCGGGAGCTGACCGTGAAGCCATTCTCGGGCCGACATCCTTTTGAGAATGGATGGGGCACCATGGGCGTTACACGGTGAGCCACGGGCAATCTTCATGACGGGCAATTTCATCCGCAGCGGTGCAAAGATAGTCCTTTTCTGTTGGAGAACCCCTCAAGGCCACAGTTGTGGCACCAGGCACGCCGGCACGCCCCCTTTCCAGAAGACGCCCCTCTCCTTGCATAGGTGTTGAATATTTTGGCATATAGATGGCCCTGGTAGATGATTGAACCACCAGTTAAACCAGGAGTCGCCTTCTATTTTTTATGCAAAACAAGCCTAAAAAGGACACCGAGCGGCGCCCCGTTCCTTGCCTGCTTGAGGTCCCGCAGCTGAATGCGCAGGCGCAGCTGGATCTTGGTGTTCGGCAGCGTCACTGTGTCCATGAGGATCATGTGCTCCTTGGGGATCACATCCGCCAAATGGCCTCGGATCGGTGCGGAGTTTTGGATGCAAGATTGGCCTGGAGTTGAATGTGGATGAACAAACTCCTACAACTTTGAAACCATGGGAAACCATTGTTGCTTGGTATTTGAAGGGGAATCGAATCATTCTAGGGGGTCCTTCCACAGGATCGCTATCACTGAGCTCGCTCGCACGCCGGGCCGCAGAAATTTGACCACCTGAGAACCTTTTTCTTGGGGTAGAAGGCTCCTACCGATCGCGAGCTGCCCCCCCCCTCCCCCCCCTCCCCCCCCCCCCAACCAAACCACCCGCAAAAAATGGCTGCCATGGCACGCGTGACGCTGCCCAGTTCCACCGGCTTGGGGTGCCCTGCGCCCTGCGCCATCAGGCGAAAGGTCACTGCCGAGGCGTGCGCCTGCGCGCACGAAGGCGATGCACGCAGGTGCCAGCGACGCCAGCGATGCGCCAAGAGCTGCACTTTCCGGGCGGAAAAAGCCAAGCCACATGTCTATCGGCAAGCTCCCCCATTCTTTTTCCAGGGATCCGGATCTTTCTAGAAAACCTCCAGAAGCCCCGGGGAAAAGGGCTGATGTTCGAAAAGGAGGATGGTTGAAAAGAATGGGGAAACGACCCCTAGAACATTCTGGTCAAACGAGTCATAATCAAAACCCTGTATTGAATGTTCGTCAGAACCATGCGTCAAGGAACTTCAAGACTATATGAGACTCTTCCCCCGGAGGTTCAAGTGGCAAACAACTGGTCTTGAGTTGGCCTGGGGTCCAAGCGACTTGGCAAAGAGCGCCGGTGCACTGCTGCCATTTCTGCACGTTTCTGTTGGTCAGGGCAAGTGCGATGTGGCAGGGATGGTAAGGACAGCGCCGCTCCAAGGCCCAAACCGCCGCTTTGCTCAGCTCCGCTCAAATGGGAGCCCGGCGGTTTTGTGGCTCGGGGCGGTTTCCCATTTACCGGCCACAAAGAACCAGAGGTCCCCACCAATCCAAACATATCCAAACCACCAATTAAGCATCCATGTGCGTGTTCTCCCCCCCCCCCCCGCCCAAAAAAAAAAGTCCGGCAGTGCAGTGGGAAAAAAAACACTTCAAAACCACCAGGGGGAAAATAAAGCGAAACAAATCACCTTTAAAACCAACAGGTTTGAAAAATAAAGCACCTTCATGTCAGCAAATTTGGCAACCAAGGCGTTGCCAGCCAAACGCTCCCCCTGAGTCAAACCCCCGCCTTGAGCGCCAGGAACTGCAAGGAGCGGCGCCAGCGTGCGACGTGCACCCCGCAGAGCGTGTCGAAGCCCGCCTGCTCGAAAGAAACTGGCCGCAAAAATTATTTTGCAATGATCAAAGTCACCCCCTAAGTGGTGGATTAAAGGGCAACAACCAACCATTTGCTGACTTTGATAACCCTCCAGAAACCGTCAAAGTAATGACCCCAGAGAAATTCACCCCCTCAGGCGAACATGGAAGCTGCCAGAAGGCCTCTGCAAATGGAACCGTTTGTCTTCCGAAGAGGTCCTGGGAGCTTCCATGGAATCGTCCGGGGGGAGGGTAGCTTTCTGGGGGATTTCCGGGGATTTCCGGGGATGTCCGAGCTGACTGGAGAGAAGCCCACTGCCATGTATTTCTGGGGTCGAGCCGGATTTCATGTTTTTTTGAGGATTTGTCCGGCTCTCCTTTTCGCGGGGGGGGGGCGGCCCCCGGCCTGGAGGGCTTCGTCTTGGAGCTGAGTGCTCTCAGCGACTGGGGTCGAGCTCACATTTCCCATCAGATCAGTTCGGTCGATCCCATGGAAACTAGTGAAAAGAAAGCCTTCCGGATTCTGGGGGAGACTGGAGCCAAATGATTTCATGCCCCTATGGCAAAGAAAACGCCGCTTTTCCCTCGAGTTCACGGCTGAAGGATGTTCGCGGGGTGGTTCACAGAGGTCGACCTCCGGCGACCTATCACTTCAGCTCAGTTCAATGTCCGGTGGCTTCCATCACCGGATCCATCGATTCTTTTTCCACTGGAGGCCTTCTGAGTTGGCAATGGAAATAGGTGTCCTTTCAGGGCAAATAGATGGGTTTCCCTCTAGATGAGAAAAAACCACCAGGTACACCAGGAATCGAAACCCCTCGATTTTCCTACCAAAACAACCACAAAGGACACCTATGCATAGGTGGCCCTTTGGAAAAAGAGATGGGATCCCCTGGTAAATAGAAAATAACCCCCATCTAAACCAGTGGAACCCATCCATCTTGAACCAAACTAACCGATCAAAAGGACATCCATGTGAACCACCCACCATTTACTGACTTTGATCACCCAGAAACCGAACAACCAAAAAAAACGACAAAACAAAACAACCCAAAAACAACCCAAAACAACCAATAACAAAAAAACACCCCAAAAACGACGCCAAAACAACCCCAATTCGACACCTCTGCCTGGAATTTCCCGCTTCGACCTCAGCTACCCGCCTCCGCATCAAAGTCCGTGGCGTCGGGATCCAGGTCCAACACCTCGGGGCCAAGTGCGCGGCTCGTGGCTCACTGCTGGCCTGGGGGGAGCTGGGAAAAAAGGAAACCACTGGCTTTGTCGCGGCTGGTTGACCCCCCTGCAAAACCTGAACTTGTTGGTGAGTTTCGGGGAAAACCCCCTTGATGTTCCTCAAAAAGTTGAAGTCTGAAGATCCAACCCAATAGCAGTCAAGCTGGGTGAGACATGGCGATTGGGTTAATCTCACTTCCCGGGTGGGTGGCCCAAGAAACGGCCGAACTTTTTGTCTACCACCAAAATGGTCTTCCCACAACGTACAAAGTTCATGAACTCAGGAAGTGAAATCAAACAACGCACTCTGTTCGGGGAGCTCCCGTTGAGATTTTGTGATCGACCCACTGGCCTACTTTACATGGATGTGGCTATGCAACCATGAACGATTGGTTTTCACTGAAGCCCGCTTTGAAATGGATGTCCCTTGCATGAGTTCGAAGGGGATGGGGGCGGGTAGCATGGCCAGCAGGCATTTTGTTGAGTTTCACACGGCAAGCTACACAGCCTGCATGCCAGCAAGCAGACTAGTCATCAGCCAACTAGCCAATACTGTAAATCAAGCATGACCCCGCTGTACATACCAACAAGCCATGGTTTCAACCATCGTTTCGAAGTGGTACGACATGGAATTCGCAACCATCCACAGCATAACAAACCCGATTCCAACAGGAATACCCACGACCGCCGCCCGCCCCGCCTCGGCGATCTCCGCGTTGCTCAGCCCCTTACTGCGCCTGAGGCTCGTAAACTCAGATGGCCGGTGGATTCCCATGGGAAAGAAGAATCGGCATCCTTTGTTGGTTGGTTGACTTTAAAGGGGGTTACCCTTCCCCAAAAAAGGAAAACGGGCACCACTGGGCAACTGGGTAAAATATTGAGATCGAACTTGACAATGGGCCCGCGGCTCCCCGACACTTCTCGGGTCTCGGGTCTCGGGTCTCGGGTCTCGGGGTCTCGGGGTCTCGGGTCTCGGGTCTCAAGTCTTGAGTCTCGGGGTCTCGGGTCTCGGGTCTCGGGCCTCGGGTCTCGGGTCTCGGGTCTCGGGTCTCGGGGTCTCGGGTCTCGGGTCTCGGGGTCTCGGGTAGTGCTCGTTGTCAAGTGCGTTCTGAAAATATTGATTCGGGGCATCACCCGCCTTGTCAAGTCCGCAGTCCCTTCGCTTAACTTTTCAGTTGAATCGACCTGCTGCATCGCCGGTTCAGCCTCCTATTCTCAAGGCCAACCATGGTCTCAGTGGGTCAAACAAAATTGCAGTTGCTGCTGTTTGAAAGGAATTCCAGCAAGTCCCATGTGGCTGTGGGTCAAAACTAGGTACCCACTGGAACCCTGGTAAACAGAAACATGGACCAAAACCTGCGGTCCCCTGGCTTAATTTTGACCCATACCCATGTGTGACAATGCTACAGCTGAGGGCACCTGCAAAATCTCACTGCCTTAAAATGTTTGGTTTCGTGGCCGCGGCCGCTATATAGCAGACAGTCAGCAGCTTGCCCTGCCCCAAAACGCACCACTGGTCGCAGGGAAATGGAACCCAAGAAAATGCCACCGAGACCTCGGCAGCCAGCAGCAATAGCACAGTGGAAACGCAGGTTTGCATGCTTACCCTCCCGCTTACCCTCCCACTCAGGTGTCCTTTTAGGGCAAATGGATGGGTGTCCCTGGTAGATGAGAAAAAACCACCAGGCAAACCAGGAATCGCCATCTGTTTTCTACCAAAAAACAGGACACCTATGCTCCCACTGACGGGGGGTCCCTTGAAACGGAAAATTGTCTTCCAGGACCTCCCTATCAGCTTCCATGTGAATTGGTGGGAGGGTATCATGTGTGGAACATCTGGGAGAGACGTCGAGAAGCAAAGTTTTGATCTTCTCCCCGAGGCGGTGGATCAACGGCTCATCCGCATCATCCACCTCCTCCTTGGCGAAGATCTGGCGAGGCTCTGGCGGCTGAAGCGGCTGCCCCTCTTGCGGGGCAAAGCGGGGAAATATGCTGATATGCTGATCTCCCCACCTCGAATCCCATGTGGTAGAAGGGAAACCCACCTTTTAAGGGAAAAACCGGCATCTGAACCAAGACTCAAGGCTGCAGTCAGAGTGCCTTGCGCGAACCCCTCCCACCAAACCGGCCCCCCGCGACCCGCCATTTGTGCAAATCGGCCTTGCCGGCATAGACCTGCTCCGTGTTCTGGGGCGCTGAGCTGGCACAGGGCATCAGCTCCGTGCAGCTGCAGCTGATCCAGTACCTCGAAGCCAAAAGAAATGGCCGGTCCCCAGTGGCCCAGTTGCGTGAGGGCCGCAAGGTGGTGGTTTACCTTCCGCACATAGGTGTCTTTTGAGGCAAATGGATGGGTTTCCCTGGTAGATGAGAAAACCATCAGGTAAACCAGGAATCGCCATCTATTTCTCTACCAAAACAACCAAAAAGGACACCTATGCTTCCGCAGCTTAGCAAGCCACACGGTCGCAAGCGAGATTGGCAACACCGTAAGCCCTGCCTGGCGTACTGCCCGAAATTCGGCACGTTCATGGCCGAGTAGACCTGCAGCGTGGAATTTGCGGCCGAATAAGAGTTGCGAGGCGGCTGCGGATTTCGTGGATTCGGCTTCCATTCAAACCAAGCCAGCAGCTTACATGTTTGGAGGGGCTAGCTAGCTGGGCCATGGCAACCGCAGCAAAAAAAAAAAAACACGCAGCTTTTCTCCAGCTTTTCTCCAAGCCATTTCTGGGGAACCAGCACTCAAATCCAGTCTGCAACCACCTTTAGCCCCGTGCGGACTCCCGCAAAGCCATGAGTCATATGGTATTTGCCCGCGTGCCCATCAAGTCGCAGGGCGCTGCTTGGGCTTTTCGTCCCCCGGCCGAACTGGCAGTGGATAAGTCGCACCCACCAGAGTCAAACTGGCCTTCCAACAGCGGGAAGGCTGAGGTTGAGGGCCGCAGCCCGAGTCGCGAATTTTGACCAGAGGGCTGTCAAGCCCCTGCAAGATTCCATGGCGGGGGGTAAAAGGAAGAAAGAAACAGATTTGTGTGTGTGTGTGTCTTTTTTTGGGGGACCGCTCCTAATATGGTGGCTTTTCCTCTTAGAGCGTTCCTATTACCACCAAAAAACGTGGTACCCTAAAAATACGGGTACCCTATACTTGTGTTCTTTTTCTCTCGGCCTTCCTTGTCCTCAAAAAACGGGTACCCGAAACTTGTGGTGTTTCTCTCGGCCTTCCTTTTTACCCAAAACCGGAGACCCTCAAAACACGAGAAGAAGAAATCACCGAGCCTCCAACCAGCCCCGCCAAAGCCAAGGCGCTCCAACGGAGACGATGCCGCTAGTGTGCTCCATGTCCCCCTCGAAGCTCAAAGGCTGCCACTCCGCGCTCATGCAGACGCTGCCGTTCTTGCCTCAGCTCATCGACAGCTCGCTCGCTCATCGAAAGCTCGGTCTGTCCGGAACCCAACTTTTGGTGGGCTTCAAATGAGGAGCCGCTCCCTTCTTTTTCTTTTTGGGTCAGGTCGCAGACGGACTTTGGAATATTTGTGGGGTCGGTCAAAGACCCCTGGTGGGTGGCCTAGTCGGATTTTTAGGGAAGCCCCCTTTTAAACACGGCTTTAAGGGGAAACCAAGAGGAAAAACCACCATTTGTATTGGGGGGGTGGGGGATTCGCCAAAAAGAAACACACCCGTATGCTGAGGGCGCCTGGACCCTTGGGTGTCCAATCTGCGGAGGATTTGGCATGCTCTTCACCAACCCATCAGGCGTGTCATGACATGCCGCGTGAGCCTGCGTTAGCTCAAGAGGGCTAGATCCTTGTTTGACTGTGCCTTTGGCCTGGCAGGGCCAGCAAGGGTATGGCAACCTCGACCAAGCAAAGCGTAGTACCAGCTACAAAGGTCAGGAATACGCAAGCAAGCACTTCATAATACTGTCCTGCCCTTGCCCCGAATTCCAACTCACAAAATGATCAAAGGAAAGTGTTTGAATGATGCTGTCCCCCGCTTTGATTTGCTATCATGCGTGCGTGAGCCTTTGAATTCAGCCGAACTTATGGCTGTGTGGCTTGAGCCACAAGTGTAAAAACAACTGAACATCCGCACCCTGCCAACCAATAGATAGTAAACATGCCGATTTGGGCATCGTTCGTCGATTTGGCCAAGTCGAATGCAGATCTGGCATTCGCAGCACTCACAAAAGCATACGGTGCAATACTGAACATAAGCAGGGACAACTTGTAAATGCTGGTTTCCTTTTATTTTGGTGTTGAAAAAGCCACATGTTTCAAATGGTTGCAAAATGGAGATCTTTTAAGGAGCCCTGAGTCACTGTTCGCCTGAGGTTTTGTCGTCAAAACAAAAAACAAAAAACAAAAAACGGCCTCAAGCAACGGATGCAGTTCCTCAAGCAACTGACCCCACTGGCCCACTGCCCCACTGGCCATGCCGGTCTTGGGATCCCTTTGGCTGTTACCCCACACCTCCCTCCAAATGCTTTGCGTGAACGCAAAGCGACACAATAGGAAAAAAACAATGCACTTGAATTCACTTGAAGTCAGCGTTGTGATGGGAGCATCACTTGTTACTTGAAGATCTCCTTGTTTGGGGGTCTTGTTTCTGCACCGCCAAACATGTTATGACACACACTGCGACGCAACGGGCTCCTCAGGTGTGACCAAATGCAGCGTGCGTGTATGCGTGTGTGTGTGCGTTTTGGCACGGTGCGCTCTAGCCAAACTAGCATGTCCTTCGCCTCGCTGGCATTGTGTGTTCATCAGAAGGCTTTGGAGTTTATAGTTGCAAAATAGGTGTTTTTTTTTCCTGAGCATGTTTGGTTCTCAGCATGCATCCCAATCTCCAGATGAAAACCGTTGACATGCAGACCCTTTAAAATGGAGCCCGAAGACTTTGCGTTGTGCAGCTAAGTGGCAAGCACGTGGTCTTTGTAAGGGCTTAAGTGTAACTAGCACAGTCAGTGGAGTAGATGTTCGGTTCTGTTTCGCTGACGCGCTTGACTGCACGTTGGAGCTTAGGCTGCAGGCTCATTCCAGGTGGTTGTTCTGAGTACTAGGTCTTCGGGGGTACGTGTGTTTTCCGCGCGGGGCTTAAGCTGCAATCTTGCAGGCGCTGACAACGCACATTCTTTAAGTTCGCACCTTTCAATGACTTCAATAACTTTGCTTTGGCACTGTGGGCAGTGCTAGGTGTCTTTTTGTGCAGCGTGGTCATGACTAGAGCCTAGTCAGGAATGCCAATTGAAATGGATGTTGCGATACGTTGACGGATGGGTTTTGGAACCTGCATGGCTGGCCTCATAAGAAACGACCGCTTGACAACATATGGGTCTATCTGTTTTTGATGGTGGCCCTTTTTGGTTGGTTTTAAAAGGGGGACCAAATGGGAAACCACTATTTTTGGGGGCCCCCTTTTAAAAAAAAAAACACCTTCTTCACCCAACTCCCAACACCTTCTTCTTCGAGGAGAGTCAGAGCCTACTGTTACCCACACTAGGTTCCGGTTTGACGATTAGCCTTAACTAAGGCTTCGGTTGAGGGTTCGCTCTCAGGTTTGTTTGGGGTTTAGGTTTAGCGTTGGCTCTTAGGGGGTTTTAGGATTTGGGTTCTGGGCGTCAAGGCTTCAAATCGGGGCGCAGGCAACCCATGGCGGCTGGCCGGACTAGGAGTACAGTAGAAGACCAATGTCTTGTGGTTGTCAATTTGCTAGTTGGAACAATATGGCCATGGGTCACAAGCCCGTACCCCCAGTGAACATCCCAATCCCCACTAAAATAGGCTAAAACGGCTGGTGCACTCACCCCAAGATGGTCCCATTGGTTTTGACCCACAGCCATATTTACATAATGGACATAGGTACTTGTCCAATTTACTTGCCCCCCCCCACAGCTCCACAGCTCCACATCTCGTACCTCAAATGGCCCGTGTCAATTGAGTGAACGCTTGATCGATCCAGAGCGAAGGGGCCCTTCTCGCCCTTCTCGTTTCGGAGCTGGACGGTGACCTTCTTCTGCTTGCCCCAATTGGCCTCAGGCATGGCATTCGTAGCACGACCAGCTCGCTTCCGAACGTGTGGATTGGCAAAAAAAAGCCACCAAATTGTTTGTCTACCACTAGAATGGTCTTCCCAAACAGTGAGTCAAACATTATGTGTGCACACGTGCTGATTTGCCAGCGATTTGCGCGAAAATCTCGTGTGGCATCATTTGCCTGAAGAGCTCGACTCAATGAAACAGGGTCGCTTCCCAGTGAAGAAACTCCGCCCGAAGCTCAGAAGCACCGGCCCACGTTAGGCCAGCAGCCGTTTGCTCAAGCTAATTGGCTCTGGCGCGCTGCAGCTGCAGGCATGGCCCGGTGTTACGCTACACTACTGTGGGTGGTCAAAACCCTTGCACCACTTTGAAACCATGGGAAACCAGTATTTGTTGGTATTTACAGAGGGAATCATTCCAGGGTTTCGTAGTGGTGGTGCAGGATTTCGTCCATCCACAGTATGGCCTATTCAAACGAAGGCGGCATAAAAGAACTTCTGACCGCCAGGCGTTCATGGCACACCCAGCGGCGCTCCCGCAAAGTTCCCGTTTCATGGTTCTATCTATTGTGTTCAAGCTGTTTCTGCGTTGCATGGAAACTGCCCTCGCGTGGTCCGGGCTTCCTACAAAGAGTGTCATGGTCATCGTGCGTGACACTGGTCATGCACCAGGATCATCAAAGACGGGTTGCTGCTGACTCGGTGGGACGCGCAACTCCAGCAACAGCACGAAACAATTAGCTCCCAAGGCTATTTTCAGCAGAACATCCACACCAAGGCACAAGCAAGTCCACCGGCAGGGCGACCTTCCCCAAGAAGTCATCCCTCGTGATGAGGTCCTGGAAAGCCAATCCATGTTTGCTCAGACCGCTCACAGACGCGCGGTTTCAAGAACAGCTGGACCTCACGCAACAATAAACACCTTTCACATGCCCCAGAAAAGCACGTGGATCAAAACCCCGTACCCCCAGTGAACATCCCAATCCCGACTAGAATAGGTTCTAAAATGGGTGGTGCACCTATCCTAAAATGGCACCATTGGTTTTGAACCATACCCACATGGCCGCACTCTGCCGCACTAGCTCGACCCAGGCAACACCTCGCCCAAACAGAACTTCAGGTCTCTAAGCATGGCCCGGAACGACTATTGGGATGCCTCCCTTGTCCCCCAAGGTCCATAAATTGCGAGACAAAGCTGGTCAACTGGACCCGTCCTGATCATATAGCTCCACCCAGATCTTTTGGTCATGCAAGGAAGAGATAGGCAGCGACCTGGGGCTCAGGGAGACTGGAGACTAGCCCAAACGGAACCGGCATCTGACGGTAGCTGAGTGACACAGCTGTCTGGTCAAATGGATTGGAAAACAGGGGATCCTCTGGCGGCCATTCACGGCCAGGAGGTTTGGGGACTCATGTGCTCACAATGTCTTCCGTGAGCATAGCAAGAAACAGCCGCTGCATCTGCAACTATGTGTAGCGACATTGCTTGTACTTGCACTTCTGCAAACCACTACAGCTGTCGTTTGAAAGAAAACTGCCGTAGCCATGTTTCACCACCTAGTCCCCCCTTAGTAGTGGTTCAATGCATTCAGGCGCAATTGCGACATGACCACGAAAAAATGCGGAACTTGATGCCACTGCAGCAGACCTATCCACTCTCGGACCCCGAGGGAAACTACGAACCTTCACCACGACTACAGTATCGAATGGATTTCAGCGGGGGGTCTGGTGACTCACTGCATCGAAGCACCAACTCGTCGGTTTGCCAGATCGGAATGGGTCACTCTGCATTGCCTACTGAGAATGAAGATGTATGCCCAACTCAACTGGTGCTACAGTCTACAGATTGAATTGCCCTCGTGTGTAGGCAAGACACGTACTGAGCTCTCCAGAAAACTGGAACAACAACAATACATCCTTCCTTCACTTTCTAAACTACCAGCTTGCTTGGAACTGCGCAACAGGCGAGCACGGGGCGAAAAATCGTCCCGGCCATCACGCGGGCATGCATCGCTGCACGGCTAGCGCCAAGTTGGTCCCCGCTTCGCGGTTCGCGCCCGGCGGAGAAAAAAAAAGAATCGCTGCCAGGAGGCACTTTGAAGTCGAAGTTGGGTGATAAGGTCCTTGGCAACCCGGCAATCTCAAGGCACCACAAGGCTGCAGCCAGCGGCCGACGTATGCCAACGTCATGACCAAGGTACCACCCGGTACTGAAATCAACAGCCAAGGACATGCAATGCCAAAGTCGGCAAGCAGGCCAACTGGACACCTGACCATATGGCCATGGGTCACATCCCAATCCCCACTAAAATAGGTGGTGCATTCACCTACCCCAAAATGGGATCCCGTTTAACGGTGCTGACCACCACGGCCATATCTCACCCAAGCTCCAAAGCTCCAAGGCGCTTCCAGACCGTGGGCGACTTGAAGACGTGGGCACCGCAGCGAATCTTCACGTAGGGATCCGACTTCCCGTGGCCGAAGAAGCTCCTGAGACGCGATTCATTTTGCGTCCAAAGGGGCCGAGCATCATTTGACCCATGTTTCTCTGGCTGGCTCCCCCCCCCCCCCCAAACAAACAAAAAAAACGCCAGCCACCCAAACAGACCCCCGCCACAACCACCCCCAGCGCCACACACCCGCTGCCGCGCGACACATCCATGGCCGGCAGGTCGGAGGCGCTCCACACTGTGACACGCAGGATGCCTCGGCCAAAGCCCAAGGAACAACCAGGTGCGGGGGGGGGGGGGAAACGGAGGAAAGTGGGCCCCAACTGGTCTAACATTGTCAAAGTCACCCCCTGAAGAGGGTTAAAGGGAAACCACCAACCAGTTTCTGACTTTGATAACCCCAGAGAAACAGTGAAAATAGTGGCCCAAGGACAGTGGGGCAACCAGAGCTTTGCGCGCGTGAAAGCCTTTCCGAAAAAATGCGCACACGTGCGGCGTGCGCGTGCGGGCAGACGAGCGGGTGTGCAAGCGTGCCGGGCGCAAGTGCCTGGCCTCTGCACATTTACAACCATATTTCTGCATATGTGTGTATACATCTTTGTATGTGTCAGTCGAATGGCGCGCGATTGCGAGTGTGTAATTGTGTGAGTGTGTGGTTGTGCTTGTGTGTGTGTGTGAGCAAGTCTGTAAAGTTGCTTGTGTAAGAGCGCGCAACTGCGTGATTGTGTGCAATTGCACACAAACGCATGTGCGCTGGTGTGTAATTGCACAATGGCGTGTGATTGCGCGTGTGATTGTGCATCTAGTTGCTTCTGTTTCACTTCGTGCGGTGCCTGTGTGCGAATTTGCGTGCAATTGTGGGCAACTGTATGCAATCGTGTGCGAGTGGTTGTGCACGAATTTGTTGTTTGTGCGGTTCACATGTGTGCGTACAATTGCGCGCAATTGCATGTTCTGTCTTGCTGTCCTCAGGGAATGAGGGAACAAACCATCCCTTGTAGTTTCCTGAAGAAAAAAAAAGCACCCCTGGGTTCATTCCCACATTCCCTACTGATCGCACCGGCAAGTTGCGTGTGTGTGTGTGTGTGTGTGTGTGTGTGTGTGTGTGTGTGTGTGTGTGTGTGTGTGTGTGTGTGTGTGTGTGTGTGTGTGTGTGTGTGTGTGTGTGTGTGTGTGTGTGTGTGTGTGTGTGTGTGTGTGTGTGTGTGTGTGTGTGTGTGTGTGTGTGTGTGTGTGTGTGTGTGTGTGTGTGTGTGTGTGTGTGTGTGTGTGTGTGTGTGTGTGTGTGTGTGTGTGTGTGTGTGTGTGTGTGTGTGTGTGTGTGTGTGTGTGTGTGTGTGTGTGTGTGTGTGTGTGTGTGTGTGTGTGTGTGTGTGTGTGTGTGTGTGTGTGTGTGTGTGTGTGTGTGTGTGTGTGTGTGTGTGTGTGTGTGTGTGTGTGTGTGTGTGTGTGTGTGTGTGTGTGTGTGTGTGTGTGTGTGTGTGTGTGTGTGTGTGTGTGTGTGTGTGTGTGTGTGTGTGTGTGTGTGTGTGTGTGTGTGTGTGTGTGTGTGTGTGTGTGTGTGTGTGTGTGTGTGTTTGCTTTCGATTCGACCCCCCCCCCCCAGCCAGCCCAAGTTTTCCAAAGGCAAAGGCACCCTCGGGTGGGGGGCTGGTGATGGCGAAGATGTCGGTGTTCACCATCCTCGGCGCTCTGAGTGCTTAACCCATATGGATTTATGTTTATTTTTTTAATAACTCTCCCGCATACCTTTTTGAGCATACAACCCTCCCGCTGCCTCCCATGTCCAATGTGACAAGCTGCTTTCCGTTTATGGACCTTTCCCCAACCCTCCCATGTCCAATGTGGGGTCCGGGGTATCCGTTCATGGGGAAGCTATCTTTCTTTCTGGGCCTTTTTTGTGCCCACACCTTCTGAGCATACCCCACCCCTCCCAATGTCCAATGTTATATATATATATAGATATATGCATATACAGCATATATATACATATAATGTTTGTTTATGATTTTTGCGCCCAGGTTCTTCCACGAGCCAAGTTGCTTGAAGCCCATGAACTTCGGGGCCACCACTCGACTCGCCAGCTCGCCTCGAATCGAGGGCGATACCTTCTGGTGGCTTGCACCTTGGGGGACACCTCCCCCTCTGCAGGACTGGGGATGGTAGGGCCGGAGTGAGGTTTGCTTCAGGGAGAACGCCAGATTTTGACACCCTCCAACCCGCTCCAACCCCTCTAGACCCTCCGGCTTTCGAGCTCTCCAGCTTTCCTGCCCTGCCAATCCAGCTTGAGAACCTCACACCTTAGACCTAGGTTTCCTCCAACCTCGGACGGAGCCGCCCTGGCGGCTTTAAACAGAACCTCTTGCTACCCCTGATGCATCAAAAGTCTCGGACTGCCTTCCAGTAGGCAGGCAGTTCACTTTTTTAAAGCTTGCAATAACAACTGCGAAGCAAACAGCACAGAAGAACCCTGTTCTTACGTGAAAATTCCGTCGCGCCGCCCCTGTTTTGCAGCAAACGGTAGCGTCGAGGCTCGAAACAAACTCGCCCGTGCAGAGTTTGGAGCAAACTCTTCGGCCAAGTGCCCGGCCCTGCGCTCGTCGAAGCAACGATCTCTGGCGGTCCGAATGCAAGCCAAGGAACTTTGGAAAACGTCGATGATGCGGCGGTTGATCATCTCAGTCGACGGAAGCCGCTTGGACGTCGCGAGTTGATGCATGCCCCATGCCAATACACCGCACAAAGCTCGAGGAGTTTGCCCCGCGCATCTCTCACACAAAAAAGTGTCCTCGCATGTCTTGCAAACCAGCAACTGATTAAGGGGCTTCTAGCCTTGGGTGACATAAAGAAAACATCAGTCCCCTGGCAACAAAACAGGGTATAACGGATTTCATGACTTGAGTTAACCTAAAGTCAGGTGCGCAAGGAATGCCTCGAAACGAATGAAGCATCTGAACGTGCCATGCATCATCGTCTTGCTGATTCCTGTGAACCCCGTCCCTGCCTCGCTGGCAAGCAACACTTGCTACTGCCCCAGGAACTTGATCAAGACAGGGAACCGCGGGAGCTTGGGGGTTTCCCCCAAATGGGCTTCGGTGCCTTTTTTTTGCTTCCTTGAGAACCTCCAAAACCATCCAACAGCTTCCCTCCCAAACATGAAAGTGCAAAACATCCACACACACACACACACTGATCATCCAACAAAATCCGTCCAAAAAAAACAACAACAAGACTGATCCTCCAACTGCTTACCTGCCGGGATCCGAACCCATCGCGTCGCTTCAGGCGATCCGATTGCCCCGAGGCGCGCCCACGTTGAGGATGTCGCTGCCCGCGCCCGAGAAGCTGAGGTCCAGGTCCGGCGGGTCCAAGAAGAAGAGGCCTCAGCGGCTTGGGGGGGGATCCTTGGGCTTGGGGTGAGGTGGGTTTGGGGGTTGGGGGTTGGGGGTTGGGGGTTTGGGGTTTGGAGTTTGGGTTTGAAGTTTGGGGTTTGGGTTTGAGGTTTGGGGTTTGGGGTTTGGGGGGGGGGGGGTCCTTGTTTTCTTTTGGTTTGGGGGGGTGGGGGGGGCTTGGGTCGTTGGGTCGTTGAGCTTGGGGGAGACAGGGGGTGGGGGGGTCTTTCGTCCTTGGCCTTTGGCTCAGTCGCCTTGCTGCCAAGCGAATTGTGTGTACCGCCGCAGCGTCAGAAAGAAGAAGAAAAAGAAGCTGGTAGCAAAATGGTCTACCAAAAACCCATGTTTAAGGGGCGGACTATCCCTACCTCGATCTAATCTGGTGACTGGCCACAGGGACCTCACTCAAATGCTCCCACTCGCATGGGGCCCAACTAGCTGCTAGGCCCGCCAAATGTCTTGGTTGCCCCCTCCTCAGCAACTTTGACCTGCTTCTCAGCTAGATCTGGGGTGGTCAGAGTGAATTACACCGAGGGAGAACATGGGAGCATCTGGAAAAGGTAGGGTGCCTCTGAGCTTGGGCCAGGGTTCGGCTTCTAGGTGAGAAAACTGGCACGCTGCTCGCGCCCAACACCTGCCCTTTGCGCAATTTCTTGCCACAGGCGATGAGCTGCTGCCAAAGCCACGGACACCTTTGAACATGGGCGGGTAGGGGAGCATGTGCACTAACTCCACCAAAAGCTGACCCTTCAGCGTCAGTCCTGACCAGCTTCACAGGCAACCCCCAGAGACTTAGGGAAATGCCTCCCCTCAAAAGTGACCAATCCTCACCCCAAAACGGCGCCAAAACGGGGCACTGAATTCTGCCTAGCCAAGGAATTGATCAGCGTGGGCGTTCCCATCAAACCTAAGAACTCGCGAAGACCCTCTGGAAGGGGCTCCCTTGATACGCCCGTGGCTGGATGGTGGAGTAAGTGCACAGGGAACCAAGGAAAGAGCCTTCCTGCCTGCACCCGTTGACCCCAACCCCAGCTCACTTGCCAAAACTTGGGGGCGGGCACTTGGATGCATCTTGCCGGAGAGTTCATGATGCTTTAATTTTGTTTGATTGTTTGATTTCCGCCCGTCACGTTGGTGTTTTGGATTGGTGGTTTGGGGATTTGAACCGCTAGCTTTTGTAAACCTGGGAACCACTTATTAGAGCGAGTCTGAAATTTTAATTGTTGCTCTTGTGATTCGTCTTGGAATGCTAGGCTTGCAAAGGGCCCGGCCTTCCCAGCAAACTGCAACTTGTTTTGTTGGGGCGGGGGCAAAGACTTCATACTGGGCTAGCCGGCACGGCGGTTCATCAGAATCATCGACTCGAAGGCTACTCTTGGCGCCATGTCCCCGAGCACTTGAACTACTCGGTCTGCAAAAGAATGCCTGAGATTTCCTAAAAACACCTTTAGGCTCCAGAAAAATCCAACCGGGAGATGGCCAGGGGTCAAAATCCAAGTCGTACCCCCAGTGAACATCCCAATCCAACCACTAAAATAGACTAACATGGGCGGTGCACCTACCCCAAAATGGGATCCCATTGGTTTCTACCCGCAGCCAGATTGGCGCGGCTGCGCCTTGGATGCCCACCGCAGCTCCCGCGATCTTCAGGACTACCGAGAGGTCCCCATGCCACTCCTCAGCGCAGCGAGCGTTTCACGGGCCTGGCAGCGCCTCAAAGCCACGAGACCTCACTTCGCACGAGTTCACAGCACAAGACAACCTGGGTCAATGGACACCCCTCAATGGAAACCTCTAATTCAATGAATGGAAACCCCTAAAAAACCGATAAATCAACAGAAACCCCTAAATCAATGGGCACCAATGGGAAGCCTTGGTTTTCAACATCTGCAGCACCCCCTTCGCCTTGGACTTCCGAACCTATGCCCAGCGGCCATGCGGCAGCGGAACACGATGTTGTCGCAGAAGCCACCCTCCGAGGTACGCTCCTGGCGTGTCGCATGTCTGACTTGCCAACCGCCAGGGAAACTTGAGGTGTGTCTTTTTGTAGGGGACCGCCCCCCTCCCAAAAAAAAAGGGAAAAAAGTGGTGGTCCTTTTGATTTTTCCCTTTCAAGCCACCGAAAAAAAGTTTCAGAGACCCATCCTCCCCTCACCGATCCGCTTCTCCGGATGAGCTGAGCCCGCCTTCCGGTCGAAGATCCGGATGTTCTTGAACTGGAGGGGCTCGTGGCCTCGGATTCGATTCGAAAGAGCTCCATTGCAGGTGCGGGCGGGGGCGGAGGTTGGCCCGAACCTGAAGCCCCAAGACCCATGGTTCCTGTGTTCTAGTTGTTTGTTCTTCTTGCTTGCTATTGTTGTTCTTTGGGGGGGGGAGGGGGGAGAGGGGGGGTTCGCCCTTCTGAGACTGAGAGCTGACCCCTCAAAACCTATGGCTCAAAAAGGTCCAGCATGGGAAAATGATGCGCCGAAAAGGTGGTGCGCTGGAAAGGTCCGTCATATACGCTCACCTGATTTGTATGGCCCGTCCCCCACAAGCACCCGACCCTTTGACACACATCACCCGCCAGCCCCGCAAGAACTCGCTCAGTCCGCAAATGCAACATTTGAACCTTGAAGTGCAACTTCAAGCAAGTTGCAACTCGCTCACTCTCGTTACCCTGCCAATGTTCATGGAACCTGACCGTTTTCTTTCTCTGTTTTGACCATGTTTTCCTTTTGAAGGGGCCATTTCTCCGGCGGGTTCCGTGTGAGTTGCTGGGAGGGCGCCCCCAAAAATCCTCATTTTGAAACGCCGACCTTGGCGCGACAGGTAGGGAGTGCCCCACGTAGGGGATCCTCAAAACGAGGCCTTCGCTTCCGAAAAAGCCCCGAGCCTTCCCGAGCCCGAGCCGCCCAGGTGGGTCCGGTCCGGGTCGATGTGCCCCCCCAGCGCCGGCAGCGCATCCTTCACCGCAGGGCCCACCTCCTTCAGCAGAAACTCCGAGGCCTCGGAGGCGACTCGACTCGCCGGCGGTTGGAGCGGTCGGGAATGGAATGAGAACCGTTTCGGGATTCCCGAAAGGAAACCACCGGTTGGATGAGCTATACAGGTCATCTATCAGATTGTCAAGGTCACCCCTTAAGTGGGGTATTAGAATAGTTGACCCCAAAAACCATGTAGGGAAATACAATGGCCACAGCTGTTTCTGGCTGGGATTGTCTCTCACTTGAGGGAGACCTCTGGCAGGGGTTGTTGCAATAGGTCAACCCAACTGTTGGGATGCATTTTGGACTTCATTCATCATTGTCGGGTCATCTTGAGTGTTGCATGGAGGCTGCTCCAATGGTTCAATGTGACCTCCGATCAGCTCATTCGCCAGATCCTGAGGCAGTCCACCCACTGGCGAGTACCCGTTAATTGGGGGGGGGTGGCCAAATGGCCAGCACGCCTCTCCAAATATCTCTTTTCAGCGCTCGCTTGCCATCCTTTCCAAGCGTCCTCGGCCCCCTTGGCCTGCACCTCTGTCACAAGGAAAGCCAGGGTTTAGGGTTTAGGGTTCAGGGTGTAGGAAGCACAGGCCCCGGGCCGCTCTCGTCACAAACGCCACGGTCCCCACTGGCCATGGCCTCCCTTGCGCCGAGGAGCCCAATGGCCCACCTGGGGCCACACGTGCGCCACAATCTCGTTGGCCGGCTCCGTCAGAGGGCTGGGGAGGCCTCGCGCACCAACGGCGCGAAAGGCACATACGTGGCGTGCCAGAAGTGGCTGTGGCTCAAAAAACCGGTACCCAACATGGAACCCTGAAACATGGACCAAAACCTGCATAACCCCTCCTGTTTAATTTCGAGCCACACCCAAGTCCGGCCGGGCCAATCCCAAAGGCCGAGGGTCCTTTCAACAGCTCCGCCTTTCTAATCTCTCAACCGCCTCATGGTTTTTCAATGAACTGCTGGCTTCCTTTCGCCTCCGACTTGCGACTCCCGACTTCCGACTTCCGCCTGGCACGTGGGTGAAGGCAGAGCCGCTAAACTCGGTCATCCTGGGGTTGACCGGCGCAGAGGACGACCTCAGCACGCGCAAGAGCCGGACTTTTCGGCTGGACCTGGGTGTGGCTCTCTTTCTGGTGGAACCCCTTCTTGGTTCAACAGGGAATACCCAAAGTTGAGTCCTACATTTTGGGGGGTCGCCCTACTTTTGGGCAAGTCCACAATGGAAAATCGGAGTCATCCGTGGCATTCGAAAAGAAAACATAAAAAAGGTAATTCTGAGGCCAGCACAGGAAGCTGGTGTTCCTGGTGTAGTTGCCATCCGCCATGCCCTCGCTAGTTCCTGCACCGAACGGACCGAGCCGGGTGAGAGGGCTATGATATTCGGAGAGTACGTGCGCCAATGTTGGTTGCTGTTGACCCCCCTGCAAAAAGTTGAACTTTTTGGGGGTTTAGTGGAAAGCCCCTTGATTTCCCAAAAAGTCAAAGTCTAAAAATCGAACCCAGTAGAAGTCAAGGTGCGCTGCCTGATGGCTGAGCAATAACAATCCCGAGCACTGCTGGCCCTGTGGCTTTCTCTTCGAGCGGCCAGAGGTAGCATGACCCAGTTGCATGTTGCTGGCTTTGGGAGGAAGCAGTTGCTGCAATGCTGTTCATGCGCATACACAGCACGTACAAAACTGTTCACATACTGTACAGACGGATTTCCTATATATACGTGTGTGTATGTGTTTGATGCTAAGCTTCATGTGCATACATATGCGGCCTCGACGGCCGCAAAAACCCGCTATGCTCATGGCAACTCCGGTGCTCCGGCCCCAAGAAAGGAACCTTCAGTTCGCAAACTGTCACCTGCGGTTCACTGGCATCAGCCCTACACACGGTGAAGCTCCAAGCCCCCCAACCCCGGCCTCCATCGAAGCTATGACCTAAGCCCAGCGCCGGTGCCACGTGCTGATGCACGGCTCGGATCTCCGAGCGAAGCGCCTGATGGGCCGACTGGCCCCCCCAAACGAGCGATTTCCCCTTGTCTCCTTCCTAAAACCTGAAAAGGATGCCATCAAAAGACACAAGCAACCTAGCAACCAAAAGTGGCTGACCAGACACAAGTGCCTGCGCCGATCGCCAACAACATGGCAACCAAAAGTTGCTGACCATCACCGCTGACAAGGGCCACTTGACTTCCGGGCCAGGAGGCTACGGCCTTAACAAAGATCCACAGGAAGCCAAAGGAGCTTCCAAGGTTTTGCAGCAAGCATGTGTTTAACGCACGTGACCGCGCACCAGCCTCCGCCCAATGCAATTAGACGAACGATGGAACTGCTCCTACAACCCCGGTACAACTATAGAACGGTCTTGCTGGGCCATGCAGAGCTGAAAAACGTGGTCCATGTCACGCAACCCGGGCTCCACGATGCCGGCCTTCAACTCGCTGCGAAGCTCGCTGACCTCATTGTGAAGGGATTGCGTCGGCCTTGGTCCGAAGAGGCCCAAGGCATTGATTCCAACATGGGCACAACTTTGGCTCGGCTTGCCTCATTTTTGGCGCCACGCGATGCCAGGGAAAGCGAGGGTACATGTTTGCGCGTGCACAGCTGCAAGATGTCATGTTCGATCGCTTCTACTTGATATGCCTGAAAGCATCTTTCCCACCCTCCTCACTCAAGAACAGCATGACGAGACAGCATCATGGAAATGTGGGCACGTTCCCCTGAAAACAAAAAACCTGTTTTTAAATGGGAAGGAGATAGTGGCTCTCTGCATGGGGGGGCACAAGGTGGAATTGTGGCACCCTGACAGCTGGCTAGCACGAAGTTCCGCAGTGACTGGAGGGAAAAAAACAACTTCCGAACGGTTCCGCGCAATTGCCTGGGTTGACAATTAGACAAGCGGCTTCTTTGACGGCTTGAAGGCGCCCGGCACACCCGGGCACAAATACATGGCCGAAAATCTCGCCCAGCTCGAGCGTTTCCGCCGGGCAGGTTGGGCTAGCGGCTAGCGCGATCTACCCCAGCGCCGTCAGCCCGTGTTAGGCAAACAGCAAGCTTGCCCTCGGTTGCTCGAGCCATAGATGGCGCCATGAGGTTGCACGGATCTCTTTCAATCGGGCCGGCGGTTGCTGGATTCGGTCGGCTAGGCTGGCAGGCCAAGTTTAAGCACCGTGCAAAGGCAGGAAGGAAAGACCTGAGGGCCAAGGACTCAAGACCAGCCGAACACAGAAAACGGCAAAAACACTCAGTCTGATGTCTGATAGTTGTTCCAACTCAGGTAACTGAAAGAAGCGTTCGCCATCCAAAGAGTCAAAGGTGCCGAGCTGCACAGATTGCTATGGTTCGCCGACTAGCCACCACGAATCCTTATACGGCCTGAGCTCATTCTACCCCCAGCTGTTCGCTCGCAAAGTGCTGCCGCAACCTTGGAGCTTTACAGGCCCGCGCCCGCGCTATGACCCGCCTCTTTCAGGGAGCCTCATGGCGACCAAAGCAACGCACGCCTCCCCCGATCGCGAGCCGCTCCTGGAAGCCGGGCCGGGCGGCTCCAAGTCAGCAGGCGGTTGTCCTCCTGCAGGGACCTCGGGTTTCGCCCGGGCTTCGCTATGGGCCGCGGGAAGGGATTCTTTCAGGCCGGGCCGGGCCGGAAGAAACGCATGGAATGGCCAAAAGAACGCAAGCCCTCGACCGAAATTTGCGAAAGATTGAGTGAGAAAGGCTGTCCTGAAATCCAAAAAGAGAGGAAAGAACACCGGCCAGCAACTAATTATCCTGAGTTTTGAAAAACACACCCACTCTCTCTCACGCACACACACGCACCTGCTTACTTTGCCCGCGCTGGTCTCGAGGCCTGTCCCAATGTGAAGCAGGCATTGCGCGTTGCCACCAGCGCGCGCGCACTTGCCCCGCTAGGGCCAGCACTGGAGGAAGGAATTGATGAAGTAGCCCTCCTGACAAGTCTGACGGTCCATTGGATTCCTTTTCGACATACCCCGGTCTCAGGTACACCCGGGCCGTGGCGTTTGTTTGCGTGGTGTGTGTGTGTGTGTGTGTAGCGAGTTGGGCGTGAAGTTGAATGAAGGCAGCCCGAAAATCCTCGCAAAATGCCTTGAAACCGAACGCAATCCACTGAAACTATGGCTGCGGGTGTTTTGCCGGCGCCATGCCAAGCTGCTAGGCCACTTCACCTTCCTTGCTCGTCAGCGGATCGCCACACCCCACACATCGGGTGCCCGCGTCTCTCTCTCTCTCTCTCTTTCTTTCCTTCTTTCTTTCTTTCTTTCCTTCCTTCCTTCCTTCTTTCATTCATTCATTCATTCATTCATTCATTCTTTCTTTCTTTCTTTCTTTCTTTCTTTCTTTCTTTCTTTCTTTCTTTCTTTCTTTCTTTCTTTCTTTCTTTCTTTCTTTCTTTCTTTCTTTCTCTCTCTCTCTCTCTGCGCAGCCGATGTGTTTTTTGCTTCTCCCCGCTCCCGCACACATCCAGCGCAGGTGTTACGGGCATGTGGCATTGGCTAGGGGCCGACGACTTCGTCCAGTGATCTCCACAGGACCAATACCACCACCACCCATAGGTGGCCTTTTGGAAAAATACATGGCCCTGGTACATGGAATCAACCATCTAAACCAGTGAGGAACCCATTTATGTTTAACCAAACTGACCGATCAAAAGGACACCAATTCCACCACCCCTTCTCTGTCAAAGCAAGAGCCTAGTCTTTGAATGGCACCCCCTCTCTTTCCGTCCAATGGCCTAGGGTCTAAGTTTAACTTTTAGCGGGTTAAATGGAAACTACCACTCAACACTAAAAAGCTAACAGGCTAGGGACCGGATGGCTGGGAGCCACCAAGTGAATGGAAGCTTGGGACCTCAAGCCGACTGCCAAGGCTACTTTGGTTGCAACTGCCCAGGAAACTCCAGGAAAAAATAGATCCCAGCGGGAGAATCAAGAAAACATGTCCGAAACCCGCGCGGAGATCACTGCCTGAAAGATCTGCGAGCCCCGGTGCACCTTTCAGATACTGCCGGGGCTAGACAGGATGGTCGCAGCATGACGCCGCAGGACGCCCTGAGCAAACAGAACAGCACCTTCCCCCACACGGGCAAAGCATGGCAAGCTTCACGACTCCTTTCCACAATACTCCTTGGCGTCATGCCCAATGTGTTCGCGAGTCATAGGTCCAAATCATAAACCCAGGAACCCGGCAAAAGCGAGCGCAACTGTTTCTAGACCTTCTTTGCCAACTTTTTGACTGTCGGGCAAGACTTGCTGCTCGGCAGGAAATGGGGAAATGACCCTTAAACCATCCCCTGTGGTTTCCTTCAAGGGAATCCCCAGGTTCATTCCCTCATCCCCTACCTATCGCACCAGCAAGAAGACGCCGGTTGCCAAGCCCCTGGGCTAAAGAAATTGAAACCGAAGACGGATCCAGGTTGGATCTGCGTGGCCGCAGGGGCAAGGGCGAGCTGCGGTTCACACGCTTTGGACATTTCCAGGGCCACTGTGCGCCACTTTTCTTGGTTGCCGTAAACCCCTCTGCAAAAAGCCAAAAACTTTTGGTGGGTCCAGAATGGAAAATCCCAACTGTTTCACCCCAAAAAATAAAGTTCGATGATCCAACCAAATGGCCATAAAGAAACGAAACTGCCCCCCAGCTACCCTCAGCCGTACTGCTCGATGCGCCACACGCGCACGGCGCCTGAGATTTTTCGCGGGGAGCACAATGCCCTCTAAAGGGACCTGGGACCACCAACCAGTGCAACCAGCAAGGGGCACTACACGTAACTCTGGGGAGCCGAAAGCCAACCGCTTCGTCCTTTTGGTGTTGGGTTGGGTTGGTGGAAGCAGCCGCTTTAGGTTCGAGGCGCCCGGTTGACTTGAAGGAAACACTGTGAAGTGGCGAAACCTGGAGAAGTCTCCGGGCGTCCCCGTGCAAACGGGCTTGGGCATTGAATGTCGACCTGTCACCTTCCCAATGGCTCAAGTCAATAAAAAGGACGCAAGGCACAACAAGCAAGGCCCAAGTTCTGCAAGGCAGGCACCATAACCATGTCTTTTGTTGACAGGGGCAAATGGATGATTCCTCGTTAGTTGTTAAAATGCGTGCAGTGAGCTCACGGTTCAGCAAAGACGCGGGCCCATGGAGAGTGGCATACATCACATCATGCGCATGTCTTGCATGACTTTGGAACCTTTTGCCGATCCCCCCGTTTTTCGGGCGTCGGTCCCGTCGGTCCGGTAGCCGGTAGCCACGCGCCACCCTTCCCGGCCCCGCCAACTGGGCCCCGCCGCGGTCATGGGACGCCGAGAAGAGCCGATTCCCCACGGCCGCCAGCGCCGTGACGGGGCCCTTGTGGCCCTGGCGCGTGTCTAGCGTTGACCACCTGCTGACCACCCCCGCGAGATATGTGGGGGAAAAAAACGCCGCACACCGGCGCATGGCAATTTTTTGGGGGTCAATTCAAAATGGGGGACCAAGTCCTCCAGATGTCCTCTTGGTTTCCCTGAGGGGAAAAAGAAAACGGGTCCATCTTGAGAAACCTCCAATTGAACTGGCTTGGCAGGCACCTTGCCACTGCTGCAAAACATGAAAGCGACGGCGCGGAGAGTGCCAAAGCTAAAATGGACAAAGGAAAACCAATTGTCTCCCATCCCGATTCCATGGCTCGATCCTTTTCACCTCTTGTTGCCCAGCTGAGAACCTCCTATCTTCTGTCTTCCTGGGTGGCAGGTGGCAAACTTCTGCTGGATGCAACTCATGCACACACCACACACGCCAAAAAAAAAGTGCACTGAGGAGTAACCCACACCATTGTCTGAATACATGGGCCTGTGATTCAACTTCCAAGTCGATCAACACATTTGTGGCCAATATTTTCTCGAGGAGGGGCCTCTAGTAGCCTCTACGATGGTAAACGTCTCCCAGTCCCTCACTTCAACGCGGAGCCAGCCAACAAGGATGTTCCACCGGCGTGTTGGCCAAACGCCGCGAACATTCAGTTCATCAAATGACACTAAAGTCCAGTAGGGATGTTGTGGGATCTTTGGTCTTGATTCTGGAGCCCCAAAACACGACCAACGCCGGAGCCGCGTCCCATCCAAGCGGGCTCGGGCTCTCTTGCGCCCTTCCGCCTGCAGCACGTCCTGGCACTGCAGCTCTCCGTCCCAAACCTTCACGATGCCGTCCTGGCAAGGTAGGTGACCGACCCTTGCTGCGCCACGTGGGCTGCCTTTGAAAATCGACTGGTGGACATGTCCCGCAGCACACGCCCGCGGACGTCAAGGTTCGGGGGGGCCGTCGTGCAAAAAGTGTTCCGGTTCGCGCGGAGACGGGACAAGCAGAGCCACGTCAACCGGCAACATTTGCCAGCAGGTTGAAAAGCCCAACTAGCCGCAAACAACGAAAAACGAAAAAGCGCCAATTGATGATGCAAATGGTGAAGGACATCACGTGGCCGGGTGCAACTCATTGCCCTCTCTAGGAAAAGCAATCGCCAACCAGCGCTCGCTCCATGGATACCTGATTCATCCAACCAAAAAAGAAGTGGTTTGGCCAAGCATGTGTTTGTTGGGCCTGGCAACCAACAGGCTACAATATGTTCGAATGCATCTGCTGTGGGGGTTGGTAGCCCCACTTCAACATGCGCACAAGCCTCTTGAAGAAAGGGGTCCAGAAAGAGTAGGGGTTCTTTGGCCTTCCGCACTGGAGAAGCAGTCCTTGGAGCCTGAGAAGAGCACGTCGTCGCTGGGAGACCTGCCGAAAGAAAGAAAAAAGTGCGCACATGCACCCGGAAACAAGCTAGAGGTATGACGGCCTGGGCGATTTTGGACATAACAAGTGAAGGTGAACAGGAACGTGAATGAATACGCCGGAGTGAACAAGACATAGGCCGCTGGTGCGAGAGCCCGTGATGCTTCACGAAAATTTGTGCGAATACCAAGAAGCCATGACCCAGACGCAAAGAAGAACGCCTCCTGGCTGACAAGGTCCCAATCCATGCCAAGCGGCATGCAAAGGCTTTGGATCCAGTCACCGTGGACGTGGAGCGTGTGCATCGTGTTGGTGAGGCTATGGACGTCCCACTCTTTGATGGATCTATCTCCTGAGCTCAGGCGCCCGCTCGAACGGCCGTTTCTTGGCTGATTCCTTCAGGGAACTCGTACACATGAGGTGAAGGATAAAGGATCCGCATGAAAGGCGTGGGACAAATTACCCCTCTTGCTGTGAGAGCCACGAAACAGTCAAGGGCAATCACTGATGCTCTGCTCTCAGAAAAGCATGCTCTTTGAACGAAGTGTCAGGGGTTGTACTAATTTTGGGTGCTCCCTCCTAGCTCCTTGCAAACTCTTTTCCCTCACTTGAAGCTGCAAAGGAATGAGATGCAATCCCTGCTTTGCTAGCATTCAGCTTTAAGTTCTCACCACACTGGGGTGTCAGCCACCGGCGACCAACTTCACCCGTACGGACTGACAGCACCAATTTCGGGTCCCAGCGTCTTGACCCCGAGTAGAACTTCCCGTGCTTGCCGGCCACCGCAATGCTGGTGACGCCGTCATAATGAGGCGGGTGAAGTGTCCTTCACTGGGCCTTGGGCCTTCCGCGCTGAGCCAAATCTTCACTGCTTAGCTTCCGCTGGCAATGCATGGCTCAGTTTTGTGCCGTTGCCGACTGCTAACAACCTACGACCTACAAGTAGACGATCTTTTGCGGTCGGGGTTCTGGTAGCAACCGTTGCACACTGCCAGGCACCAACCCTTGGTTGCTCGGGGTCCTGTGCACTGACCACGTGGATGTATCCCAGACCTTCAACGAACGGTCCCGTGCTCCAGACACCACCTGCACAGCGGAGCTCAAAGCAAGCGTGCGCTCTTGTGTGCACGCGCATGCGCGACCTTTGGTGGCAGAAGCAAACTGGCAACAAATAGAAGTTGACAGCTGCGCAGCTTTGCTATTTGCCAGCTTCATTGTTTGCTTGCATACTGGGCAGAGTCTTTTCCAGGTTTGCTCATGTTGAATCCAGGTACTTGCTTGCCCGAAGGGCCCAGGAATGAACGACCAAACTTTTGCAACCAAGACAAGATTCGGATCAAAACTGGAAAGCCAAAGGTCGGTTGTCGGCATGTCACCTGTACTTTCAGGGTCAATCAGCAAGCCGATAGTGCTTTTCCTTGATTCTCCGATGGCGGAAGCCGGAAAAACTCCAGGAGCTCTTACGCAAACATATCAATACGATCTAGTCTTCGACTTCTCACGTTCTCACGTTCTGGGATAAGCTTGGGCACGACGCGGCAGCCCTCTTCACAGCTTCATTCCCTGAGAGCCACCGGTTTTTAGGGTTTTAGAGCCTCGCGGTCAGGCATCAGCACGTCTCACAGCCATCAGCCTTTCATCTCTATCTCTCTCAAGCTATGACCGGCTCATGCCGAAAGAGACTCCAACTGGCTGATAGCTACCACTTGGGTATGGCACCGCAGGTTTTCGGCCTTGTTTCCATTCACCAGGGCAACCCATTTGTGGGGTTACCCCAGTTTGGACCTTAGCCACCCCACGAAACAAGTCTTGGCCAAACCTCAGCTTCAGCTTCCCGCCTGCAAGGAGGAGAAGCGATCCAGGGCGAAGATGCCCCCGAGATGCGCTTGCTCAAGGCAGGCCACGGCCTGGCGGTCGGGTCGAGCTCGCGCCGAGCGAAGCCGCGGCGCTCCTTGGCTGGGGCCTCGTTGGGCGCGGGTCTGTCGAGCGAAGCGCTTGGGAAGTTGCGGGAGCCGGCGCTTAGAGCCGGCGTTGAAGGAAGCGAAGTGGGAAGTCAGAGACTTGGCTCTGCCAGCTGCCTCTCCCTTCACGGAACCTGCGGGGCTCACAGATGAGCCTCCATCGCCGACCACTTTCTATGCAGCTTCGACAAACCAGCGCAGCAAAACAGTGTCAGAGCAAGCATGCGTCAGAGAGAGAGGGAAAAAAGAGGGAAAAAAGGAGAAGAAAAAAAGAGAAGAGGGAAAAAACAAAAAACGGATCCAGTGAGCTCCAAGTTTCATATGGTCGGAATACATCGCGCCAAACGAGAGCCTTCCATTCCCCCCCTCTCCCCCCGAAGTGCCTCGAAGGTCGCGAGGTCCCACACACGGATCGATCCTTGGGAAAAAAGAAACGTGCGCGGGTCGAATCAGCATGAATCAGCAGTTAGAGTTTGTGTCTCCTTCGACCTCGTGCCTGAAACCGGACAAAAACAAAAAAAAAGATGCCCACTGGGTACACCGACCTGGAGAACCTTCCATAACGTGCTGGCGCACAGCAGAGCATCAGGGAACGACCATGATAATTTATAATGGTCATAAACCATCCAACTGGTGGTTTCTCCTTCATTCGGGGACCAACGCCTGGGTTCATTCAAAGAACATTCCCTGCCGATTTCGCAGCAGCAAGACAAATTGAACGGCGTCCAAGTCCACGTCCGCCCGCCATCTGGCCGAGGCTCTGTCCTCAGAGCCTGAGACTAACACGTCGGTGCCCTCCAGGATAAGCACCTCAGGCAAGGTCTGCTCCCCTGCTAAAAGTGACCAACTTTTAGTGGTTTAGCGGAAAACCCTGCCATTAGTTGAGAAACAGTTAAAGTCCTACTATCCAAGCAAAATGCACCAAAGCAGTGCTATTTGCATGGCGCCGGTTCTCCATGATTTGGAGGCCAGCAATCGCTTGCCTCTTCAGCAAGCATGGTCAAGCATACTCCACAATTTCAAGCTAAGGATGGGGGAAAGCAAAACATGTGCTTCGCAACACACAAGTGAGAAGCTATGAACTTTGAAGGTCCTCCCAGTGTGGGCCAGGGCGGCGCTTCCACACCCCCTCTCCTCCCCCTTGTCACCAGCTGCGCGCCGAGCGCGGCGCCGTGTTCACACCCCCGGTGTGGCCCAGTAGCGTCTTCACCGTGGAGAAGGTCTCGAGGCTCCACACCCGGATGCTCCGATCCTGCGAGCCTCCGAAGTGGCTCTTGCGCGTTTTTTTTCTTCTGTTTGTTTGTTTTCTTCTTGTTTCCTGTTTTTTTTTGTTTTTGTTTCCCCCTTTTGTTTTTCGGAGGCATCCACCCCCCCTTCCCGGAAGAAACATGGAAGACCATGGGCTTTGGAAGACGGAAAGCTTTCCTTCGAGGGTTTGTTTGTCCCCCATGTCAACTTCCATGATACTGTTTGCGCAACGAGGGTAGTGGCTTGCTTCCTCGGAGTCCAAACACCGTTTGTCCCCATGGCGACCGTCGCAGCTTTTGGTGCTGCAACGAACTCGAGCCCCAATCCTGCCGAAACAGCAAATGCCAAAGGAGGTCCCAAGGTGGGGGAAATGGGCAAGCATTTTGTGCAGGGGCGACAGCCTTCCAGGATATTCTTTCTTTGGGTTATTCCAACTTCAGTGGGCAAGTCCGTGCCTGAGCAAAGAACCTTCTTGGCATAGCTCGCGTGCAGGCACTTGACAAACCCCCGGTGGCCAGGCAAATTGCCAATGTACTGCAAATTGTTCCTGGGCGTGGCTGAGTGCTTCCCCCTCCTGCCATTCTCTCATCACAAGTGCAATGGAAAGCTAGATTGCGCGCATAACTGGAGTGAGCATTTTGGATGGTTGATAAAACCAACCAGTACATGCGGAAATTTTCAAGCGTCCCTTCGCATCAGCATTGCCAAGGCCCACCTAAACACGCTGGTTGTGTCAAGTGTCAGGTCCCAGATCATGATGATACTATCCTGGGAGCCCGTGAAGAGAATGTCCCCCACTGCACACAGGCAAAGTACGGAGCCTGTGTGGCCCGCCAGGATGTGCACGCAGTGCTCCTGGAAGGCATGTAGGCTGGAAATTTGGGCATAACAAGCCCTGTTGGAGCAGTGGCTGAAAACAACTTGAACAACGACCCGTAGTCAAACCGCAAAGGCCAAAGGAAAGCAAACAGGCTTGCTCAGGCTTCGCTGCCAGCCCCGCCTCTGGTGCGCTCTGGTGCGCTGTGGGAGTAGTGCTGCCGCCCACTGAGGGCAATGTGCCACTGCGGGAGCGGGGGGACCGCTGCCTGGCAACTGACGACAGCACCCGATCTGCCAGAGTTCAGCCCTTTGGCACACCGCACAAGGGCCCCACTGACAACTGCAAACCAAACGATTTGCTTGCATCTTGCGACCGACCCCCGAGCCAAACCCACCCTTCCGAGCCAGCAAGCCCCAGGTCCACAGGTCGTCTTCGCAGGCGAAAACCGCAAGCGAACGGCAGCCCCGCCTCGGCGGAGACTTCTCGCTCTGGCGCTCCTTCCGCAGCTTGGAGCTGACCTCGAGCGATTTGCAGCGGGTGCTTGTGCCTCAATCCTGACAAGAAACGGGGGTTTGAGGGCAGGCCCGTGGCAATCTCACGAGGCGCCTATCAGGACTGGGCGTATGCAATGCGGATGCCAGCATCCTGGAGCAGGGAAAAGTATGAGCCCATGATGGGAGTGCAATCCGCCCTCTGCAGACCCTCATGGCGTTCCCCCGAAACATGGGGGGGGCCCCTTTGGCCACCCTCACAAAAACAGAGAAAAGGATGTTCACCTAGCACCTAAACAAAACACGCCCCACACGCCCCACACGCCCCACACGCCCCACACGCCCCACACGCACCCCACACGCACCCCACACGCGCCCCACAGCTCCCGGGCTGCCGGGCGGAGCCGGCGCTGGCGCAGCTGGCGCTGCTCAGCAGCTTCCCCCGCGCAGAGACGCCTATGGAGGCAGTGGAGGGCGTGGCGCTGCGCAGGGAGCGTTTCGCCTGGCTCACCTGCGCCCATGGAGGCATCGGCAAAAACCGGGGGGGGGAGGCGGGGGGAGTGGAGGGGGGGTGGGGGGGGGGGGGTTGATCCATAAGAAAGGGCACCCAGAGAGCTGGGTTGCCATCGATTTCGGATCCATGCTCCATTTAGAGTGGATTTCATGCTTTTCAGACATGAGACGTCGGGGTTGATCAACATTCCTGAACCAAAATGACCATGGACAGCTTTTCAATGTGGTGAAAGTCGAGTCTTTTTGTGGTGGTTTCCCGAATGGTCACACCATGCCGTCCGGACCTTTTGATCAAACCCCAAAATGTGTTTGTGGCCTGTGTTTGGCGGCCTGTTAAAGCGGGAAACTAGTTCTAACACCGCAGGCCTTGCTTTCCTGCGTTGGCCGAAATGAGTCTTGTTGCTCAAAGCTGCCCACGACTCGAAACGGTTTCCAACAAAACCACACGTCGTCCCCTTGCTCCACCTCAGATGCCCAGTGGCCATGGCAAAAAAACGAATCGGCATCCTTTTTCGGTTGGTTGACTTGAAAGGAATCGGAACCCTTCCCCACAAAAAAAAAACAAAACGGGCGCCGTTGGGCAACTGGGCCACAGCCCAAAGACAAGATCGCCTCCAGGTGGATGTCATTGGGGAGGCTTGTGGAGAGCACCACCACGTCCTGCCAAGGCTGCGGCCTCGCTCCATCGCTGGCCGACTGGAGCGATTTCTGAGGGCACAGCTGAGGAGGACACGCGGGTGGATCAAACGGTCCGGACGACATGGGGTGACCATGAAGGCAAACCACCGGGAAAAAAAAAAGTCTACTTTCACCACACCACGGCTTGAAAAGATACTTACGTATGGTCATTTTGTTGAATTCTGCAGTCTGGATCAACCCCCACCTCCCCTTTCCGAAGAAGAAAAAAAAGAAGGACGCCTGCGGCGCGCTTCCTTCCGCCCTACGCTTCGCTTCCTGCGCAAACGCCTGGCCGGTCCTCCCCGTCCCTCAGCTCCACCGGCGCCGCGGGTTCGAAGCCGGCCGCCTTGGCGATGGAGCGCTCGATCTGGCTGGCCGTGGCCCCGGCGTACCACACCACCGCCTGGGCGGATTCTTTTTTGGGGGGGGGCGATCGGTGGGTTCCGCGACCCCCGAACCAAAAAGTGGTTCGAACCTTAGGTGATCATGGACTTCCCTCAGTGGCTCCTGCCATTCTGCGTCGTTTACTGCCTATGTGTGACCTTGTGAACCAGCCCGGACCTTTTGACCTACCCCCAAACCACAAATTGATCAACCCAAATTGGCGACCTTTACATGGCTACAAAGTCGCCGTAAATTCCAACTTGCTAGGCAGTTTCGGATTGGCGGCTGCCTTCAAATTGACTATCTCGAAAGGGCCCTTGTTTGCAGGGGCGCTGGCTAGTTTGAGCCTATGGCTGGGTTCCACATGGTCCGCCTTCTTTCTCGCGGGTTGTTCAAGAACGACAAGCAGGAGCTTAGTCTGCCTTTAGAAGCAGTATGTGCAGGTCAAAAAATCCGAACGACAGAGAAAACAGACGGAAGCCGTGTATGAGCTTGAGCCACCGTAAGCTCCTGTGTGGCCTGCGCACGAGTTCATATCGCAATCGCGTCACAGGCGGGCTGCACTTTCGCACCGTAATCAACCATGTGACAGCACTGTTTGTTGGCAGCAGTGTTGCACGTTAGATGCTGGTCTCCTAATTTTGCTGGTGCGGTGGGAATGGTCCAAAAATATTTTGGGGTTCACTCAAAACCGACTCCTTCGCGGGGCGAAGGCCTTGTGCTTGATGTTGGGCGGCACAGAAATGAAGATCCGCTTCTTTGGCACGTGCACGTGCAGGGTGGCACCATCATGGATCTGATCCGGACGCTCCACCACGTACATCTGCCTGTCTGGTCAACGGCTTGATCAAACGTGGCCGGGGGCGTGATCCGTCGGGTTCCGGGGTTCCCCTTTCGCAGAGGTGTTCCATATGTGGGTCAAACCCTGCTTTTGCATGACGCCCTCCCTCGCCCTTGCGAAAGGGCATCGTCTCGTCTTGCCGCTCCCTCTGATCTAAGCACAATCTGCAAAGCCCTTTCAGATTTCAAGCCCAGCTTTCGCTTGAACAGAGATGACCAGGTCTTGACCGCGGAAATTGGTTGCATCAGGGACTTCTTCCACATGCAACTTTGGCGGGAAGATTCTTGGAGGATCGCTAAGCTTGCCAAGCGAGAATGAGGCGCATAGATGTTTGATCCCGGGTCACAACCTCAACGCATGGGGCACATGTGTCATAATCAAGCCACGGTATTAAAACGATCCACGCAGAACCATGCAAAGAACTAAGAAGGCGGCCGATGGTCCCTTACTAACCTTGATCTAGCCGGGTTTTGAGCCAGTGGCCCACATGGAACGGGCACGGACAAAATCCAAAGGCTCGGAGCCACCAAAGCCTCTCCTCGCATCCCTTCTCCCAAAAAAAAGAACCTGACCGAAGCCAAGCTGCTGGTGAGCGGGGTGCATGGTCAGCAGGCCATGGCCCACGTCCACACCCAGGGAGGAGTAGAGCTCATCCAAGGTCTGTGGGGGGGCGACCTGCTTCTTCACGGCGTCCTGGCATAGGATGCCAGGAGGCCCGAATTTTTCTGAGGCGCTCGTTGGGCTCCCTCCCTCCCTCCCTCCCTCCCTCCCTGCAACGGTCTGAGGCGAAAGAAACTCACGGCCTAGCGCCGGTTCAGCACACCATAGCCCGAGCCCAACGCCAATCCCCAAACCCTTGGCTCAGCTCCTGATTCGGCTGCACCAGCGTCAGCTGCCAACTCTCCCCTGGGCGGTGAGGCTATCCAAGGCGACTCTAAGATCTGATGTTGCAGGGTCAATTGCCCGAAAAATGGGACGAAAAGAAGGTCCTTGGTTCCAACAAAATGATCCCCCATCTTAAAGGAAGCGTACCTCTCTCTCGCTCTCTCTTTTCTCTGGGAACCACCTCTTGTCTCTCCCCCCCCCCTGTCTGCACCCCGGCCCGCTACATCCAGCAAGGCACGGAAGTCACCGCTCATGCTGCGCACGAGCAGTCACGCGACACGACACTCTGGGTGTGACACAGGCTTGGGTGCTTCTGATTTGTTGGCCGTGACTTGTTCTTGCGCATTTAAACATTGTGAACCCTGGCTTCCGAAACAAACGGGTTGCGCAAATGCTTGCCTGTAAGGAAGCAAAAAGCAGTGAAGATATTGCTTTGGACCGCAGTTCGCCAGAAATGCTTGGATTTGGCGGCATGCACCGTTGTTGAGCTCGGGCAACAAGAACCCGGTCGCAAATTTCAAGGGCTCATCGGCGCTGGTTGGACTGTGGCCTTCGCATTCCTGCCTCCGGTGCTTCCCAACCAGCGACCCAGGCTTTGAGCCAATCGCAGCGCCAAGACATCGCCAAGCAAACCTGCACAGCAAGATCCGCAGGGAGCCTCCTTTCAACAGATTTGCCCGCTGGCGTCAAATTCGAGCGAGAGGGCAAAAAGGTTTTTTTCCCAAATCAAGAAGCTGCTCAAAACAGAGCAAGTGCACGGCGCTGCTCGCTTCGCATTTCTTGCCCGGCAACCAAAAGAGTCGGCCAGCGGATCTGGGCTTCGCTTGCAGCAGGGCACTTCCGATGACCCTGCACGGCTCCTCGCTGAGCACCACGTTGCCCAACTCCTGCCTGGTGTCCTCACTGAAAGGGCGGCAATGAAGCGCGATTTGGGTATGGGCCAAATTAGTCACCACCAGGATACGGACTGCAGATCTTAGCTCTTGTTTCCACTTATCAGGGAAAACCCATTTTGGGGTTACCCTACTTACCCTCGCCCATCCCTCCATTCCGACCCGACTCTTGAGTCGGAAGAAGACTCCCAGCCGGCTCCCGGGTCCTCGGGGTAGCCATCCACAACTTGCGCTGGCTTTACCGCCTCCCATGCGCTCGCTCTGCCAATGGGTCTTGGACAGAGGCAGAGAGTGGCTGACGGCAAGGGCTTCTGGGATTGGCGGATGGGGGAGCACTGTTTCGGATGGGGTCGCTTGCATACTTCTAGGGGTAACTTCTCCATTCTTTCCAGGGATCCTTCTTTCTAGAAAACCACCGAAAACCGTGGGGAAATGGCTGGTTTTTGAAGAGAGCGATGGCTGAAAATAATGGGGAATCAACCCCTAGAATAACCATGACTCTCTGCTCGAGATTGGACACAACAGCAGCAAAACACGCTGGAATCCTTGCCGGAGTGTCCAACAAGAAGCTGCCACAATGTGCAATATGACCTCCAGGCTTCATTTGTCCGAACTAAAAATGGGCAAACGCCAAGGTGAGGGAGGGTTACAAACGCGTAGACCTGTCCAAAACAACAACAACAGGGTGCTCCCGCAAAATCCGAGTGCCCCGCAACATCCGAAAGGTGACTGGTCGCTTTGAACACTGCCAAGTCGAAAAGCCCGTCGCCTCGATCAAATCCGCTGGCATGCCCACAAATGTGTACATCTCCGGAGGTGTCATGTCGGGGTCGTTGGGCCCTCGATCCTTGCCGCACATATCGCGCTTGCCCAAAAAACTTGCTGGTTCTCAGCATGGCATGACCTTTAAGGGAATCTTCCGGTTCATTCCCAACACCCGGCCTCGGGCATTCCCTAAGGAACATCTCCAAAGAACCCCACTCCCTGGTCAAAACATGAGGCCACCGGCGCTCGGTGCCAATGCTTGGGCGCCCGGACGGGGTTCACCTCCTGGGATGGCAAAAGAGGAAAGTGGCAGTGGCTCAAAATTAAAGAGCTAGGGTTACGCAGGTTTTGGTCTATGTTTCCACTTACCACTGTTCCATTTTGGTACCGGTTTTTTGAGCCATACCCAAGTGAAGCTCCTTGCCTCTTCAGAAATCCGTGCTGAACACACGGTACTCGGGGTACTCTACGTAGAGTGTCCCCTGTCAGGGCTCTTTGGAGCAAACTCGCCGCATGAGGCAAATAAAGCCTGACAGGGGTTGCCGCCCGTTCACGTGGATCAGAACCTTCACAAGCCTTGGTATGGTAGCAAAAACCTTTTCGTTGCAGCCCCCGACCAAAAAATGAACAGACCCAAGCCCAAAATAACCAAGAAATAACCTGCCAAAAACCAACGGATCAGAACTGTTGCTCAACCTCTCGCAGGGACGTTTCTCCAAGCCATTGGCCAGGTCCTGAACCACGCCCCTCCCCCCCTCCGCCGGTCCTCCGGCTCACCTCCGCCCCAGGCACCGTAGTCCAGGGCCTTCGCCAAGCCGTCGCTCAGCGGGCCTCCGGCTGTGGACCCAATTGGACCAGCGAAGTGACACGACTGCGGGTCCTGTCTCACAGCGTTGAAGGGAAGAGAAGTAAGCTTGCAGCGATCGGCGGTACATGGCAAAGGCAGTTCTGTCCAAGAATGTGGTTGCGAAATCTGCTCCCCTGCTAAAAGTGACTAACTTTTAGTGGTTTAATGGAAAACCCATTAGTTGGCAAAAAGTTCAAGTCCTAACATCCAAGCAAAATGTACCAAAGGGAAGAAAAGTAAGCCTGCAGC